CTTTCGTTGATAAACTGTTTGGTACGATATAACAGAGTGGCGGAGAGTGAGGTTCCGGGAGACAAACATACTCTGTGACAGTAACAGAATACTACTGTAATGGGTCATGGCCTACAAAGGGCCAGCTAACCTGCCTAGGCTTAAGACTAGGTTAAACTCGGCTTAGCTTAACTAACCTTCAATTAAATAAAATTCTATTTTATTATCTATTTGATGTGTGTGTGTGTGGAAGGGGGTGGGGCAGGGGTTGTGTGTGTATATATTATATAGCATAATTTTTTTTAGATATCTAAGTTTCTGGGAAGGATAACGATAATTATATAGAACAATGTAGGCATATCTACATACCAGTGGTCTGTCCTTTTGCTCCAGACGTCAGTGGTACTGTCGATATTTTGGCCGTTGTTGATTCTGTGTAAAATAAATAATAATACTCTAACTTCGGTCTTAGAAACTGTAATAATATATCGTACGGGCCTCTGTAGTCTAAAGATTATGACGCTCACCGAGAGAGGTTTAGGGGGACAAACCCATTCTGTAAATAACAATAACAGAACTACTGTAATGGGTCATGGCCTACAAAGGGCCAGCCTGCATAGGCTTAAAAAGGTTGGCATATAAGACAAACTAGGCTTAGCTTAACTAATCTGCATTTAAATAAAATTAAATTTTATTATCTATTTGATGTGTGTGTGTGTGGAGGGGTGGGGGATGGGGTTGTGTGTAAATTTTTTTTAGATATTTAAGTCTCTGGGAAGAATAATGATAATTATATAGAACAATGCAGGCATATCTACATACCAGTGGTCTGTCCTTTTGCTCCTGACGTCAGTGGTACTGTCGTCACTTTGGCCGTTGTTGATTCTGTGTAAAATAAATAATAATACTGTAACACAGGTCTTAGAAACTAATAATATATCATACGGGCCTCTGTAGTCTAAAGAGTATGACGCTCACCGAGACAGTGATAGATTGTGGGTTCGCGATTCCCACTTAACTGACCTCTTTTTCCATACAACTAATTAATAACTTTCGTTGATAAACTGTTTGGTACGATATAAAAGAGTGGCGGAGAGTGAGGTTCCGGGGGACAAACATACTCTGTGACAGTAACAGAATACTACTGTAATGGGTCATGGCCTACAAAGGGCCAGCTAACCTGCCTAGGCTTAAGACTAGGTTAAACTAGGCTTTAGCTTAACTAACCTTCAATTAAATAAAATTCTATTTTGTTATCTATTTGATGTGTGTGTGTGTAGAAGGGGGTGGGAAAGGGTTGTGTGTGTATATATTATATATCATAATTTTTTTTAGATATTTAAGTCTCTGGGAAGGATAATGATAATTATATAAAAAAATGTAGGCATATCTACATACCAGTGGTCTGTCCTTTTGCTCCAGACGTCAGTGGTATTGTCGTTATTTTGGCCGTTGTTGATTCTGTGTAAAATAAATAATAATACTGTATACGCAGGTCTTAGGAACTATAATAATATATCGTACGGGCCTCTGTAGTCTAAAGATTATGACGCTCATCGAGACAGCGATAGACTGCGGGTTCTATTCCCACAACTGACCTCTTTTTTCATACAACTATATAAATAACTTTCGTTGAAAAACTGCTGTGTGTGTATATTAAATATCATAATTTTTTTTAGATATCTATGTCTCTGAGAAGGATAATGATAACTATAATTATATAGAACAATGTAGGCATATCTACATACCAGTGGTCTGTCCTTTTGCTCCTGACGTC